GGGAGGAGGAGGGGGAGGATTCACAGACATAAGCGAGACGAATTATTGTAATTTTGTTTACTGTTGACTACCTCATCGAAAGTTTTTAAAAAAAGTTTTTTTTTAAATCGCTTACAGTTATTGCGCTCGACATCCATGTTTCTCATCTTCTAAAACGGATCATCCCTCTAGAAACCTTGTCTTATGTAGCATTGTTGCGCAGCTGATTGGTTGGTATTCTGTTGGGGTCTGCAGCTTCTACTTTGCCTTCACTCATTACATACTGTCGAAATACGACTTCTGCGGCACCGACTCGTAGTGTCAGTTTTAACTCGACCACACTTTTTGCTCAGCTTAAGATGTGTGTGGCTAGGGTAGCCACTCGTAGGTCTAACTTTTGGAGAAAAAAACTTGTTGTTTCTGCATTGCTAGCTTTTTCTCAGCTACAAATGACTTATCGTTTCTATACTTTTATATGTTTCTCTGTACGCAAGGCGGGGGGAGGGGGGGTGGTTGGTGGGTGCTCTGGTGTGGTTTGCTTCTTCTTTCCTATAAAACGTCTATCGTCCTTATCTCCCCTTCTTCTTTGTTATGTTTGTTACTCTCTTGTAACACCTCTAATCTTCTGGCGCTCTTATGACCTTATGCAGTTGCGAGCGCCGTAAAACTTACAAAAAACCGGGTAACCATAGTTTTAGGATCTGTGGTCACAAGAATGTGACAGAAGACAGGGACGAAGCCTATACCCTCCAAATGTTTTAAATTTTGTCGGTGGGGCGTAAAAATGTATACATATAAAACACATTACTGAGACATTAGCGCCTGGAATGTCAATATATTTCCGAGGCTCCGTCGCCCGTTGCCCGGCCGCGCTTTCCTAACTGTAGAAACAGTCGGGACGATCGGTCACCACACGCGCCATCTGTCACTGACAATTAAAGGCTGAAAGACCCCAACAGCCCCCCCCCTTTCCTCTCCCTTCTGGTCAAAGGATTGGGTGCCTTGAGTGACGAATCCTTTTCACCTCTTTCACCCCCCTTATAGGCACACACACACACACACACACACACACATATTCTGTCTCTCGCCTTCTTTATTTTTTATCTCGCTCTCTCCCCTAACAACACTCCCACCCACCTACATTTGTTAAACTATAATCTCGAGGTTTTATAACTTGATTTTTAAAAAAAGG